AACAGCCTGAAGCTGATAGTTTATGGTGTTAAACATTAAACGGACTTAACTCGATACATGGACGTTATGTCGTTGTATGTATGATTCCAATTGGATTTCTTCTTTGAATTTGCTTGTGATGTACTTCTGAATTTGCAGTCCAAGGAAGCAAAGAGAAGACTCCGGAAGCCTGCTTTAGTGCATTTAGCTTATGCCAAAGTTATAAAGAAGCTCAACTTCTGCGGCTAGGAAATTGATGGATGGAGGATGGTGATTGGCACATGAATCTGATCAATGAATACTGATTGCCAACTTATCTTGGTACATTTGTCCTTTTGATGCATTGCCATCAGATTTTTGTGCTCCCATCTCTTCACCGATGCCGATGATTATTTTATTGTACTACCATCCACTTGTTTTCTAAACAATCAGTTGATAAAGGCTCCCCTGTGTTTTGTTATGCACACGGAGAAGACTCACCATAGTGATGATAGACAACCTGCTGCCAGTAAGGAAACTCTATGTCCCTTGTCCTAGCTTCAGATTCAGTGAGCTTCACATGCCAATGTTTTGACCTGGAGTTCAATTGTAGAAATTCAGAGGACATTGTCCTGTCTTATGTGCTGTGTTTTCTCGAATCACATAGTTCACCGCTTTGTTTGTATTGTGGTTGTGATTCGGAGATCTTACTGGTGCTGTCAAGGTAAGCTTTCGGCTGCATGGTGAATGTTGTATTTGCTGGTAACTGGGCAACTCTGTGCCATGATGCGCTATGGGAGCAGGTTGAATCTGAGTATGAATGCGTACCCAAGGATAAAGAGCAGCGTTTATTGGCCATATAGAAAGTTATCTTTTTGGGCTGCAATTGGTCTAGAAAATTATGCATGAAACTAGAATATAATGGATTGCATTGTCCAGTCTCATCAGAGACTATGGGCAACAGGGCTTGCATTGTGGTAATGAGATTCTTGTTGTCGTCTGAGCTTTTATCTGCACATTCGGGCCTCAGGTTTTCCTTTCAGCATGTTCCTCCTTTCCTTTTTATCTTTCTTTTTAACCTTTTTTAACAGTGCGGCGTGGCCGGATTTCGCCATCAATCATCATGATGAAAAAGGAGATTGGTGGAACTTGAAGTGATAGATCAAGAGATTCAGAAACAGTTGCCGTGTTAGTAAACTACTACTCCATCCATCCGTCCCAAAATAAGTGTCGCTGATTTAGTACAAGATGACACTTATTTTGCTTCAAGAAGCGAGTGAAAACAGCATGAATTGGTAAGCTATATACCTTAAGCTGGGTTCAGTATAATTAACCAAGTTGTCATCGACAAGTACATTCGAATCTGGCCTTGCATGTTCTCTTGTTGCTAACTATAGTGACATGCTCTTTCCTTCAAGTAAACATAAAAAGGCCCCCCCATAGAAGCTACTACTGACACAAGTAAAAAGTCTCGTCATCAGGACTGTGTAGGCGTCGATTGCTTGCTCGATTTCGTGGCTTCAGCGGTAGAGGCAGACGATGAATTCTGGATTAGATGTAGTCGCAGAAGCCGGAGCTGAAAGGATCAAACAGCTGCTGCTTGCTGTCATCTTCCTGGATCTTGTCGATGGAGGAGAAGACGCTGAGGGCGTCCATGTCCGCGAACAGGTCCAGGTCGCTCTCTTGCTTCAGCTGATGGTGAGCACCAGCACAGTCGACGTCGACGTTGGTGTTGCTACTGCTACGAGCTGCCGCGGCCGCCAATGAAGAGGAAGAGGAGGCGGCGATCTTGGCGGCGGCGGCGGAGGAGGATGACGGGCGGGTTGATCCGGCGAGGGCGTTGCGCTGGGTCGGCCACGGGTGGTTGTGGTCGGAGGTGTAGGTGATGACGAGCATGTTGGGGTCGGTGCGGCTGCGCTCCACCTGCTTCCTCGCCGGGCACCCCTTGGAGCTGCTGCAGCGGTAGTAGCCCCTCGGGTACGGCGACCCCTTGATGGGCTTCTGCCCGTACTTCCTCCATGCCCACAGGTCCGACGGCACCACCTCGCCGCTCGTGCTATGCCGCCCGCTCGCTCCCGGCGCCGCCGTCGGCGCCGGGATGCACACCACCTTCTTCGACTGGCTCTTCCTGCACGCACGCAGCATCGATTATGGCATGTTTTAACACGTAGTAGTGCCATCGGTTCGTGTGAAAGCTAGGAGTAGATTAGATAGATGAGGATATGTTAACCTTGGCTTCATTCCGGTAGGCACACGAGGGTGATGGGCGATCGACATGTGCTGCAGGCGGTCGCCTATCTCCGGCGGCGGCCCGACCACCATGTCGCCTTCCCTCTCGAAACCCGGCCGACGAAGCATCCCGGCCAGCGGCTCTGGATGCGGCCGCGTATATGTCGTCGCCGGCGGTGAATGCAGCGAGATCACGTGATGATCAGACGAAGGAGGCCGGCTACTATTATTGCCGCCCATCATCATGGCCACCATTCCCAGCTGCTCATCGCCATGGCCGACGACCAGGCCGCCTCCACCGCCTCCTCCTTCCAGCAGCAGCGAGCTGTACTCGTCCTCCTCCTCCTCGTCGGCAGCCGGGGTTGGCAGCTGATGAGGCGGGTGCAGGCTTGCCCTGACGACATCGGAGAGATCTCCTTGCTCGCCCGGCGACAGCCAAAACAGGTCACGCATGATCGACCCGACGGCCGCGGCCGCCGACGCCGGTGTTGATTCACTGGTGCAGCTTATGATCGATCGATCAGCCCGCAAGCGCAGCGCCGTGGCCTACCATGCATGCATATCGGAGTCAGCCGAGCGAGCGCTTGTTGTATATATGTGCATGAGGATAGCCAGCTAGCTACACATGTAAGTGATACAAATGAGTGGAAACTGGAAACCCGGGGCTGACTTTTAACACTGGGAAGGAAAAGCGGCGGCAAAGCAAGACGAAGGTGGTGGTGGTGCTACCATTATACAGGCGAGAAAGGAGACAACTTATTATACAGATCCAATAAAATTCACGGTAACTAGTTCGCCGGGGAGCACGCATGAACTACATCTAATCAGTTGATCACAATATTTGAACGAACGGGCTACTGCATATGCCTGCTCACTGATAGAGCCAGCCATTCCGGCGGTCTTGTCTTGCACTGTCCAAATCGGCAACTCCCCCTATCGACGGTCATCCATCCATCGATGGCTACTATCGTTTCAGCGATCCATCCATCTCCTTTTCATTTTCTGTCAAAAAGGACCTCTCGCCGGCCCTCGATCTCAATACCTCTAGCTTTTATCTTTTCTTTTGCCTTTTTGTATCCCGCCGATTCCAGCCACTTCTTTAATCATTTCATGGGTTTCGGCGAGCACTGGCAGCTTGTTAAACTGGCCGGCAAGACCGGGGTAGAAATGAGATGCATGGATCTATCTTGGGCAGCAGCTTTCTGAATTTACTGCCACATATGCATGCCCTTCGGCTGCCACATGGCATATGTGGTATTCTCTCCGACAGGGTTTATAAGGGCTGACATGGAGGTGCCGGCGTGGTTTGTCGGGACCCTGGCCGGTGGCCGCCGATGAAGCTGGTGGAGAAGATCCAGATTGGCGGAAACCCCTTGGTCTGCCCCGGCCGGCCGCACCGACGACAATGCTCAAGGGCGCCGCTTTTCTTCTTAGAGACGTCGGTCTATATCTGCTCCTCTACTTCTCCCCTACCCGCCTCTCGGGTGAAAACCCTAACTCCGGTGAGCGGCGGCGGCAGCGTCCTTGACGTCGTGACCTTCCTGAAGGCGCCGCCTTGAGGGCTGAGTGGTAGTGGGCACCGTGTGGGTCCTTGACGGTTGCTGGTGGTGGGCACTGCTTCAGGGGGAACCCTAGGATCTGGTCTTCCAGATCGAACGATGATGGTACTGCGGTGCATCGTTTGTGAAGCATCGTTTGTGAAGCAGCGCTGGATGGCAGAGGCAGGAGGTGGAGCGGCTTCATCTTGCACGGAGCTTTGGTGGAGCTGTCAAGTCATGCCTGGCCGACAGGTGCTACGCTGAGTCATGCCTGGTTGGTAGGTGCTACGCATGACAGTCTTCCAGAGTCTTTGCGTCTGGACAGACGAGTGCAGGGCGGTGGCGCTGTTGGGCGCCATGGTGGCATCGATGGTTGTCTGGACTGACAAGGATGATGCGGATCTCTCTCCTGAATATGGGTCAGTGGTCCGGTGATGATGGCGGCTTCTAAAGCGTGTGCATGTGGTGTGCGCTCTAGGTCTGCTACACCGGCTGTTGGTCCCGATACGTTATGTGGATGGATTGGCGACCACACCGGTTTTAGATATGGGAAGTGAGAGCACTCAACATTATCGAGTTTGTAAGTGTGAGTGATGGTTTCAGGTGGATTGATGTAAGTTTTTGTCAGACCTTTGTGGAATAATTAATAAAGATGACTGCATGCATCGATTGATGCAGAGGCTGGGGGTTTAACCTCCTTTTCCAAAAAAATATCATGTATTTCAAGATCTATTTTGACCATCAGTGTTATACCAATAATATATAATATATATGTATGCCACAATAAGTATACCATCAAATTTGTATTAGAAAGAAGTTTCTAGTGATATAACTTTTATATCACACACACGCCACATATAATATTATCAATGATGGTCAAAGTAATCCAAAAGAAACTTATTAAGCATTACTAACTTGGACGGAAGGACTAAGCTATCTTAAAAAAATGCATGTCCTCCAACTGAAATTAACACAAAATGTCAAGCTAGTGACAATTGGGATTAATTTATTACGAGGAGGATTTTCTATCAGCAGTTACCACGGAACCCGTTTGAGGTTTCGCCGGTGTGGAATTTTCCAAAAATTATGAGAAAACATACACTATAATGTAAGATGATCTAATAAAGGGATTAAAAAAGTATGGCTTAATGTGCCCTCGGACGAAAAATAACCTTTTCTTTGCCCAGCGCACATAAAAGCTTATTTTTGCAGTCGCTCCACTGGATCATCTTATATCATTGGCGTGATGTCCCATCATTTGTTTCATATTTCTTGTAAAAAGTTAACCTTTAAATCTTAACGAGTTCCCCAGACTACAATGTACATGCAATTTTACCTATCTAGGATCGGTGCAGACTTAAGGTTTTTTGTCAATCCTAATCATATATATGGCCTAATCCAGACAAAGGGCAAACATGAAGATTAAAAAACATTGACATCTATTTTGAACTACAATACTATATTTTGTTGATCTTAAATGTAATACTTCCTCCTGTCCATATTAATTGACGCTGGTTTAGTATAAACTTTTGCTAACTTTGTATTAAACCAACGTCAATTAATTTGGATCGGAGGGAGTATATAAATCTTCTAGGGCATATACATGGTCTTAATGATGGTGCTTTAACCATAAATATGTAACCAAACATATTTCATGTAGAAATACTTATATAATTGATGAAAAATCTAATAATTTCAATACGATGTCTTGGATACGAGTAAAATTTTCATATACGGTCAAGTTTATAAATGTCTCACCGCAAAAATAGAAGTTTATAAATATCTGACTTACATTTTGAAAGGGATACAGTAAGTTAGTAACTACTCCCTTTCCAAAATAATTGCCGTGGTTTTAGGGAGTAGTAAAGTTTGAGGAGCAAAATAAACTTTGCTCTAGGATGTCTACACTAGCTAGGCTAGAGGTGGAGAGCCACCATGAAAGAAATAACATGGAAGGAGCACAACAAGATTCTTATTTCCAATGTATAAACGACAAGCTAGCTAGAATGAAATTAAGCAGACAACAAGAAATGGCGGCTGAACCATCGATCAAGCCGGTGAGTGCATGGACTGTTACAAATACTTTCTTGGCCCGAGAAAAGAGGGCGATGCCTGATATCACTGATTCGCCCCTAATTATCCATGACCGAAAGCTACATCTCAAAATCGACCACCTAATTTGCTGCAGTAGTTCTAGTAGTATACAATTAATTTGTTGATGATTTCATCCAGCAAAGTACGTGATGATTCGATTGGTTTGCAAGCAGTCATGTCAACGCCCGATTGGTGAACAAGCTAATCAAATTCACTAGACATATACTAGCTGGTTAGTCAACCATCAAGTCGTCAACCGCATCGATCCTATACTATCCTACATTATCTATCAGTTCCAACATAGTATGTCCATCACGGTCCACTTCCACTACATCGATCGTAGTAGTAACATAGCTGATCTGGTCGTGTTACTGGGAGATTAACAGGGTCACATCACATTCAGACCGACAGCTACACGCACCACGAGAAGCAGAAGCGAGGCGGGATGATGTGAGGCGGACCTGATCGGCGACGGGGCTGGAAGTTGCGCCATGCATGATTGGTTGACGACGATGCGTATGCCTGTGGCGAAATGGATTCGACGAGACGCTTCGAGGGACAGAAAAGATTGGATGGCATGGCATAGGCCGGCCAGCCGCCCGCCTTTTACCACTTGGGAATTGGATGGAATTGCTCAGGCCCCATCAACCCGTCGCCTCGCCCTAGCCCGTCCGTCCGTCCATGGACGATCGGGTTCGTGCGCACACTCATTCACCCGATTGATCGACCTCTAGTAGCTTAGCTAGCTCTAGCTATAAGCTGTACAGAAGAATCTGAACTAGTAGCAGCTAATGATTGTCCCCCATATATTTCCTCTTTTCCGGCCGGGTGGTTCGATGATCGTTTGACGGATGCGTGGCTAGCTTGCTGCGTGTGGCCGATGGAATGACACCGCTGAGTTAAGCTTGGTAGGGTTGCAGAGTATGCGCAAAAAAAAGATAGGGTTGTAGAGCTGGAGTTCATTCTAGGTATTTTTTTTTTGGAGACATTGGAGTTCATTCTAGGCGAAGGAGGCTGCCATGGAAAGCTTTTTTTGAGTTTTTTTAGTATGCATAACAATATGGCTCGGCCCAGTTGCAAAATGCTTGCTCACTAAAGTGAGTGAGAAGAGAGTGGGCCGGCCCAGACCGTCTTGGTCCGCTTCGCCTATCTCCTCCTACCTTTCATTCTAGAGAGAGAGAGAGAGGCATCGCATCGCGGATCGGCCATTGAGAGAGAACGAAGGGAGAGCGGCGGAGGAGGCGAAGGCATCATCCATGGCCGCGGTGGTCCGGAGCGTGTGGCAGGGCATCAGGGAGAAGGGCCTCACCAACTTCCTCCGCCACGCCCGCGAAGAGGGATACCTGTAAGTCTACCCCCCTTCCCCCACCCCCTCGCCCCCTCCCGGATCTGAGATTCGTCCATGCTCCTTCTCCTGTGGCTGTTCGGTCAAGATCCCATGCGATTATCATCTAGGGTTTCTTCAATTTCGAACGCCTCGCGTGTCAGTTCACTTATTATTGGGATCGCTAGTTTCGTCCGCATCCAAATTAATGAACCCAAATGAGTAGGCAACATCACATATTCACCTACTGCCTCAAATATCCCTTAAAAATAAACCTGCTGCCTCAAATTACATAGTAAGCTTACATGCCTTCGAAATTATTCTGCTGGGATTGCAAGGCCTGAAAACAAAAAACACAAATGAATGTTCCTTCCTCTTGGTCTATGCAGTTTAAGACAAAATCATCCGGTACACAAATGCATCTGCGGATGTTATCATTTTCCTCAATAATAAATCACAACACAGCATACCTTCAAGAAAATAATAAGGTAATAGTACAACACAACACAATGAGAAAGTGCGGGGCAGTGCAAAATTCATACCATCGATCAGCCACTGTACTCATTGGCTTTTAAAAAATTTCATGTGCTTTCACCTTCCACATAATGCTTTTCGATTAGTAGCAGGACTCTAGCATCCCAGAATATAGTACTTTTAAACCTAGGTACACATTACAATTAGATCTAATAGTTGTGAATTCTCACATTAAGGTATCTTCTTTGTGAAAGCATGTGCACAACTTTGCTGCTGCTTCCAGTTATTACTTGATAGGTGTATATATCGTTCCATCAGAGAGCACATTTTTATTGTGATGAACTGGTTACGGCCTGCAGCTTCAAGCCTTCAAGTTGGTGTCCCCACTTCTTAAAAGGAATCACTTTCACTCTTTTCAGTTTTCTAAATGCAATAGTTGTGTTGCTTTTTGGTGGAGTATCACCATGTACACTAACCTATTCTTGTTGGTATTCTCTGGACTGTTTTTAAATTTCTAAAATGATATAGGCCTCATAGAATTCCATAGTAGGAGGAAAAAAGAGAGCTAAATTCTACATGTCTTTCTTTGTTTATGCTTCTAATCTAATGTTGTAACATGGTTTTATTTACAGAAAATGCCTTGGGGACGGAAACCTATTGTAAGTCCTCCCTCCCATCTCTCCAGTTTTGTTCGAAGGGATGTGTGGTTGTGTGTCAGTGTGCAGACTTCTCTTCTTTTCAGGCAAACCAAAATTCACAACATTGGTGCAACCCTTGTAGGAGTTGACACTTTTGGAAACAAGTACTATGAGAAACTACATGACACTCAGTATGGTTAGTGCATCGCCCCTTAGTTGAGCTACTGCAATTTTTTATTGCCGAATTCTATTGCATGCCCACATTAGAATGTTGACCATCAAACTTATAGACATTGCCACTTTAGAAAGAACAGTATCGGACTCTATACTCATCATCTCCTGTTGTCTAAGATTTTGTCTCTCGTCTCTTCTTTTCTCTAACGCCTGAGATTGGAACTTTGCTAACGAACATTCCAAGCTTGACGATTTGTATTTCTATGTGTGAGCATACTTCTTGTGCTTCAGTGTTTCCCCCTGATGATGTAGTAGAAACTAAACATTGTTCAATCTTCAGGAAGGCATAGGTGGGTAGAGTATGCGGACAAGGGTCGCTACAATGCATCCCAAGTGCCTGCTGAATGGCATGGATGGCTGCACCACATTACAGACAGCACTGGAGATAAGGCAAGCTGTCTCTTTCCTTGTGCTATTTTCCTGCGCATATAAAATTTCTGAGATGCTTTATCCGTTTAGGCAGGGTTTCCTGAACAACATGTATTACCTAAGTTGTACTACCTCCGTTTAGAAATAAGTAACACTGTTTTAGTTCATATTTGAAGTAAAAAAGTGTCACTTATTTCCGAACGGAGGGAGTATAAAATAAATGAGCACTTAGGCGTGTCTATAAGGCCATGGAATCAATGGGACTATGAAAGTTTTCTTATTTTCCCTCATTTTTTTAAGTTTGATTATTATTTGAACGGTGCAATAGGCTGCTGAGAAACATTATCACTTTTTAAGCTATTGTTAGCCGAAATGTCCTTTGATGTGTGCAAGTAGATTCAGTGCACTAGTTTTACTATTGGTAATTCGAAACCAAGTAGCTCATAAATATGACTTTCTTTTGGAGGGGACAGCTGCTGGAGGAGAAGACTAAAAAGTTCATTAGGGAGCACAGACAGAACTACACCGGACAGGGTGACGACTTGATCTACCACTCCAAGGGGCATGCTCTGAACCCAGGGCAAAGGGACTGGACAAGGTACCAGCCTTGGGAACCAAAGAAAGAAGAGGCCACCTGATCTGTATGAATGGTACCTGATAATCCTCTTCTATGTTTCGCATTTGGTTTGGTGTCGCGGATCTAAAACCGCCAGTCACCTTGGTTTCATGGACTGGACCTGAATAATGTACTCTATCTGATACTGAATACCTGCCACTGAACAATTTTAATCTCTGTGGATGTGGCAATTGAGAAACTGGCGATTCGGTCGTCGGTGTTTGCATTGAAGAGTTTCTTTTTTCTACTGATGTCAATGGTGCGTGGATGTTGAGATGCTGAAAGGAGATAATATTGTTTGGTAAATTCCGTGGTGTTGCAACATGCCCGTGTTCTTTTCTTATCATTTTCTCTTGAGAAAAGGCCACCATCACCATTCATGTCAAGAAGCTACATGTACACACGGGGAAGACACTCAACCACATGGAACAGGAAACCTGGGCATGGGCTGCCCTGGCCTGACAGCCTACACTCAAAGCCTGACGGTTGAGCTGGACAAGGGCTCCAGTTTTGGCCCGAACAATTTAGTAGGGATGGGACATGAGTCCAAGACCAATCCATTCCATCCCACTGTATTTCTAAACCAAACACACCCTAAAACAGGTTTGGAAAAGAAGATGGGCAATGAAGACCCGGGTGAAGTTGGGCCACTGACATATGGGCCTGTAAGACAATAAGTTTTGGGGAACCAGCACAACCCTCTAGGGGTGACTTATCTCATTATATATAATGGTTGTGTTACAATATGTACAATATACGTACATAGGTACAGAAGCTATACATAGTCTAACACCCTCCCTCAATCTTAGCCACTTTCTAAAGAACTGAGAAGGGTAAGATTGCGCCTACAAGCCTCAAACTGTGGCAGCGGTAAAGGCTTAGTGAAGATGTCTGCAAGTTGATCCTTAGATGAGATAAACTTGATCTGGAGTTGCTTCTGTGATACACGTTCCCGTACAAAGTGATAGTCAACTTCAATGTGTTTCATTCGGGCATGAAATACTGGATTTGCAGAAAGGTATGTAGCACCGATGTTATCACACCAAAGAATAGGAGGCTGTGGTTGAGACAAACCCAACTCCTGAAGCAAAGACTGAACCCAAATAATCTCTGCAGTAGCATTAGCCACAGCCTTGTACTCAGCTTCAGTACTGCTACGTGACACAGTAGCCTGTTTCCGAGCACTCCAGGCGATCAAATTAGAGCCAAAGAATACTGCATAACCCCCCGTGGATCGCCTGTCATCTGGGCTACCAGCCCAATCTGCATCAGAGAAGGCCGAAAGGACCCGAGAGGAAGTCGGCCGAATATGCATACCAAATGTCAGGGTGAACTGAACATAACGAAGAATGCGTTTAACAGCAGCCCAATGAGTATCTCTGGGAGCCTGAAGATACTGACAAACCCTGTTAACAGCATAAGAGATATCTGGTCTCGTGATCGTCAAGTACTGAAGTCCACCAACAATGCTCCTGTACTCTGTGGCATCCGCAGGAGACAAAAGCTCACCATCAACAGCTGTTATCTTGTCGGTAGACGACATGGGTGTGGTGGTCGGTTTGCACTTCAGCATGCCAGCTCTTTGTAACAACTCCAAGGAGTACTTCTTCTGCGTAAGGACAAGACCAGTAGCACGAGAAGTGACCTCAACTCCAAGAAAGTAGTGAAGCTTCCCAAGATCTTTGACCGCAAAATCAGCACCAAGAGAGCAGACAAGAGCATCAGCAGCATACTGAGAAGAGCTGACAAGGATAATATCATCGACATATACCAAAAGATACATAGTGACTTCTGGCTTCTGTAGAAGAAATAATGAAGTGTCAGCAGTAGACGGCACAAACCCATGAGCACGAAGGGCAGAGGCAAGGCGGGCATGCCAGGCACGAGGAGCTTGCTTCAAACCATATAGTGCTTTGGAAAGACGACATATATAGTCAGGACGATCAGGATCAGAGAAACCAGGCGGTTGTTTCATATAAACCTCTTCCTCCAAAAATCCATGTAGAAAAGCATTCTGCACATCAAGTTGACGAAGTGACCAACCACGAGAAACATCAATGGAGAGAAGAAGCCGAATAGTGGTAGGCTTGACGACAGGACTGAAGGTGTCCTCATAGTCAAGACCATGACGCTGCCGAAAACCGCGAGCAACAAGTCGCGCTTTGTAACGCTCAATAGATCCATCCGAATGCTTCTTCACTTTGAATACCCATTTTGAGTCAATAACATTTACCCGTGGTGGTGGAGGAACGAGAGTCCATGTCTTGTTACGAAGAAGAGCATGAAACTCCTGCTCCATAGCCTCTCGCCAATGTGGAATGCGCAGGGCAGCCTGATATGAGCGAGGCTCAGAAGATGGATCCGCAACAGCAGCAGCCAAACAAGCAGCCAACCAAGCAATCGTACCATCCTTACGTTCCTTAGGTTTGAAAATGCCACTGCGACTGTGTGTATGTGGTCGGGACACAGGAACCACCGAGGTCGACGGAGCAGCCTGCAACGGGCTGGAGGACGGCGACGACGTTGACGAGTCAGCCGGTGACGAGGAGCCAATCACGGTAGCCTCGGACTCGGTTGGTGAAGAAGGCCGACCCACCGGCGAAACCGGCAGAGCAGACGAAGCAGCTGGCGACTCCGGCATCACAGACCGGGCCGATGGCGAGCTCGGCATAGTGGGCCGTGGCGCGGCCGGTGTCGCGGGCCGATCCGCTGATGAAGGCGACGTGAGGACCCGAGCCGCGGGCGAAGACGGCGTGACGGGCCAAGCCGCAGGCGAAGACGGCGTGACGGGCCGAGCCGCGGGCGACTCGGCGGCCGCTGGCGAAACGGACCGAGCAGTGGAGATGCTCGGCGCGACGGGCTCGTCGGGTGACCATGCATGGGCACGCGAATCGATGCCATGCAACATAGGGCGATCGACGTGCCCACCAGAAGACGACGATGATGATGGTGAATCCTCCAACAGCTCCAAACGAGCTCCACGTCCGGTTCCTGCACCATGGTTAGGTAACAGCAAAGGAGAGTATGCAACATCATCAAATTGGTCAGAAGCAACAGAGGATGAATGCAGAGATGGTGGTTCGACAATGGACACAGGAAGGTTGGCAAAGGGAAAAACATGCTCATCAAACACGACGTCCCGAGATATATAGACACGATTAGTGGGAACATGAAGACATTTGTAACCTTTATGAAGAGAGCTATAGCCAAGAAAAACACACTTCTTAGAACGAAACTCAAGCTTGCGCTTGTTATATGGACGAAGATGCGGCCAGCAAGCACACCCAAATACCTTGAGAAAGGTATAATCAGGTTGTTCATTAAGGAGAATCTCAATGGGAGTCTTCATGTTTAAAACACGAGTAGGAGTACGGTTGATGAGAAAGCATGCAGTGGTGAAAGCATCACTCCAAAAACGAAACGGAACAGATGCATGGGCCAAAAGAGTAAGACCAGCTTCAACAATATGACGATGCTTACGCTCGACTGAACCATTCTGCTGATGTGTATGTGGACATGCTAAACGATGAGCTATCCCAAGCGACTGAAAGAAAGAGTTGAGGTTGCGATACTCGCCCCCCAGTCTGACTGGACATGAACAATTTTGTGCTTGAGAAGACGTTCAACATGTTTTTGAAACTGAACAAAAATATCAAACACATCAGATTTGCGTTTAATAAGGTAAAGCCAGGTAAAGCGACTATAAGCATCAACGAAACTGATATAGTAATTATGACCACTGACAGAAGTCTGAGCAGGACCCCATACATCTGAAAACACAAGTTCTAAAGAATGTTTCACCTCACGACTGGACTCCGAAAAAGGAAGTTGATGACTCTTCCCCTGCTGACAAGCATCACACACTGCTACATCTTTATTACTAGACAAACTAGGAAGCTCATGACGACGCAAAATATGACGGACAATAGGTGTGGCCGGGTGACCAAGACGAGCATGCCACTGTGACGGAGAGACCCGAACTCCACTGAAAACACGGGCGACGCCAGGATGCTCCAGACGGTAGAGGCCCTGGCACAACCGCCCACTAAGAAGAATGTCCCTCGTGCCCCGATCCTTAATAAAAAGATCAAAAGGGTGAAATTCACAAAGCACATTATTATCACGTGTGAGTTTAGAAACTGAAAGAAGATTACGGGTCACAGATGGAACTCGAAGAACATTGCGAAGCTGAAGACTCCTATTGGCATGTCTAGTGAGAAGAGATGCTTGACCAATATGAGAGATGTGCATACCTGCTCCATTGGCGGTGTGGATCTTGTCGGAGCCATGATAGGGTTCACGAGTGTGAAGCTTCCCCATCTCGCTGGTCAGATGCTCTGTCGCCCCAGAGTCCATGTACCAGTGTGGATCGATGGAGTAGGACTGAGTGTGTCCCTGTTGCTTCTGCGGCACGGGACGATCAGCCATGGCGACCTGACGGGCATTGTTGCGTGTATCTTTGCCGTCATTGCCAAGACCAAGGAAGCTTCGCTGGAAGCGCTTATGACACTTGGAGGCCCAGTGCCCATCGCGGCCACAAAGCTGACACACACGTGGACCGCCAGCCCCCGGTAAGGTCGCAGTAGGTGGGGGGGCCGAGGCGGGCGACGGTGGCAGCCCCAAGGGAGACCGGGGTGATGAAGAAGAGCGGCCACCCTTGGTGGCGGCGTTGGCCGAGAGGGAGCCAGTGCCCCTGGTGCGGCGAGTCTCGACCCGTTGCTCAGTGAGAAGGAGCCGAGAGAAAACCTCGTGTGCCAGCATGGGTGTCGAGTTGCCCCGCTCGTTGATGATCTCGACTAAGGCATCATACTCCTCATCAAGACCATTGACAATAAACGAGTTGAACTCGGAGTCGATGAGGGGCTGTCCAATGGAGGCCAATGTGTCGGCGAGGCCCTTGACCTTGTTGTAGAACTCAGTGGCAGTGGAGTCAAGCTTCTGACACTCTCCAAGCTGACGACGGAGTGCAGAGACACGAGCCTGGGACTGCGCTGCAAAGGTGCGCTCAAGGATGATCCAGGCCTCATGAGACGTCTTCGTGAAGACAACAAGACCGGCAACTGCCGGCGAGAGCGACCCCTGGATGGAGGAGAGGTTCGCCTGGTCCTGCCCCGTCCAGACGCGATGGGCCGGATTGTAGACCGGACCGTGCACGCTGTCTACCAGCGCGGGTGGGCAGGGAAGCGATCCGTCGACGTAGCCTAGCAGGTAGTGACTCCCCAAGAGCGGAAGAACCTGTGCACGCCAGAAGATGTAGTTGTCGGCGGAGAGCTTGATGGTGATGAGATGACCGAAGTGAAACGGCGGCGGCGAAGACGATCCCATCGAGGAGGCTGCCTGGGGTGCAAACACCATGGAGGCAGCCGGAGGCACCGAAGCCGATGCGGGAGGAGGCGGGACCGCAGCCAGGGCGGGCGCCGCAAAGCTCGCGGCCGGGGCGGACGCCGCCAACCCCGCCAGCGGGGCAGTGTGATCCGCTTGCGGCAGGAGCGGCGGGACGACGCCTGCGGAGTCCGCAGCGGACGGCGGCGCCGCGGTGTGGACCACGAGGTCACGCCCAAGCGAGGGCGCCGGCGGCGTGGAGAAGACGGAGCCGATGCTCCTTGTCCCGATCGGAGCCGGAACAGAGACGACATCGAGCGGGAGGTTGAGCAGAGCCGCAAGAGAGGCCGGGAGGAAGCCCGCAGCAGTGGAACCGGTGGTGGCGGCGCTCGACATGGCGGCGGCGCGATCGGTGGCGCGGCGGCGGCGGTGAAGGCGGCGGCGGCTGCGGCGGCGGCGGTGCGGGTATTAGGGTTTAGAAGCGGAAGCGATCGTAACCTAGCGTGATACCATGTAAGATAATAAGTTTTGGGGAACCAGCACAACCCTCTAGGGGTGACTTATCTCATTATATATAATGGTTGTGTTACAATATGTACAATATACGTACATAGGTACAGAAGCTATACATAGTCTAACAGGGCCCACCTATCAGTGTCCCAACTGCACCCTGCAGTACGCCAATAAAAATGCATCTTTTCTAGTTTGGTTGGAATTCATTGGTTCATCTTAAGATAATATTCCTCTTAGATGCAGAACACGCTTGATCCGCAACCAACTTCTTAGTACATCAACACTAGAAGTGGCGGAAGATGGGTAGGTGGGGCCTCTCAACCAAGACGTCGTGGTTGGCGAGTGGGGACTCTACTGAATTTTAGCATGGGTGTGGTAGATTACTATCGTGAAACCGGACCTCTATGAGTGCTTTACATGGCCGGACCAAAGCTATTCTAAAAACTAGATCCATTGGAGTGGGAAGTACTCAAGATATAGAAGAGGACTCAAGCAGGTTTGGTCCTCTTTCTCTGATGTGTTCTTAGAACCCACTACCCTCCCTCCTAAAAGACCATGTGACCACCGGATTCGAAAAGCTAATTATAGGTTCTTCTCTCCATCGAAACAATAGGGCCGTTATGCTTATTACTAAACTTGTTGAAGAGATGAAATAGAACCGAGGTCTATATTTTTGATCAGAGGTTAAATCGATCATCAGATACCTCTGAATTGGTGGAATCACCGGGTTCTTCGCTTTAGCGACTATAGAGAAAGAGAAGGCTCTCATCTCATCGCCAACACTACCAAAACATGAGGGGAGCCGAGGGCCCAAATCACGCGCTACTGATGGAGCCATCCTTGCCACCTTATTGACTCTGTGACGCGCTTGAAACAAGGCGGAGAGAAGGAGAGCACACTTAAAGCAAGGTGGAGAGAAGGAGCACACAACTAGGCGAGAATCGACACATGCCAAAAGGCCGCAAGTAGTAGGTTGAAATGAAAAGATGACGCTGGTCCTCGCTAGCTATCTGAGGCAGTAGTCGGGCATGTTTCGTTAACCTTTGGCCTACATACGAATATACAGGGATGGGCCCCTCACCCACCTCATTGTTGCCGGCTAGCCGGAGAGGAGAGGGGAGGGGACAACAATGGAGAAATCGGAAGAGGAGTGTGTGGGGCCGGAGCAAACAAATCTCGGAGGAGGGTTTGGTATCATTGTTTGTGTGTGAATATGGCTAAGATGCTCTTTTTGATTGCAATGCCTATCCTTCTCTCTGCAAAAAAAGAATAACTTCAACAAGCACATGCAGCCGGTCGCGTGCATTATTGTTAGTGAAGGCGACGACTTCTTTGCAAGAAACAAATCGAGAGGTGAAAAAAACTGTGGAGATAAAATTAGAGTACTCTAATAAAATTGAGAGAGAGAGGGAGGGAGAGAGTCGTGGAAGCGTGGAGAAAGAGCAGGCGTGGACGACGACGACGACGTGACTCCTCCAGGGCCTCCCACCTGGTTATGGTTAAATCCTCGGGTACGTAACACAGCCTCGCCTTCCTCGTGCTACGCGATTGTGGTTAGGTACCAACCATCTTCCTCCGCGGGTCTTACTTCAGCACGGCGCGCTACTACTCCTAGCACGGAGCAGAGCAGGACAGGACATTAATGGCGTCCAAGGTTAGTACTACTACTGTTCTTCTTCCTCGCCCGCCAATTTCCCTTTGTAGCTGCTCCCCCGCCTGCCCCTGGCACGTCGTTGGCTTTCCACCAGTACCTTTCGTCGGCTGACCGGTTTCATCGGCTCGGCCGGTTCGAATTTCTGGTGCAGGGCGAGAGGGATGTGGAGATCCACGTCTCCTCCCCGCCGCCCGACGACCGCGACGCCGCTAGGCCCTTGCTGCCCGCCGCCTGCGAGCCCTACTCCGTCTCCGCCGCAATCCTCCCGTACGCCGCTCAACTTCTCCTCCTCTCTACCGCTCGCTTAACTGATCGTTCATTGCTAGATTCAGTTTTTTTTTAACTTACTGCTGTACTGCCACCACCCATGCTGTTGCTGCTGCTTCATTCATCTGGGGTCTCCTTGGGTGGGAGCACTGCAAAACCATCAGCTTACTCTGCAACCAAAAGACTTGTAGAATTGTAGTACTACTCCCTCCGTTCCTAAATATTTGTCTTTCTAGAGATTTCAACAAGTGACTACATATGGAGCAAAATGAGTGAATCTACACTGTAAAGTATGACTATATACATCTGTGATAGTCCATTTGAAATCTCCAAAAAAGACAAATATTTAGGAGCGGAGGGAGCAGTACATAGTACAAAACATATCGCCTATCTGAATGCTTCGTTGTACTGTCTGCAGCTTCTTTTTCCCAGCTCTGGGTGGGCTTCTCTATGGCTATGACATCGGGGCAACATCTGGTGCCACCATATCGCTCAAGGTACCACTTCCTCACCACCCTCCCCAGTCTCCAACGCCACAACAGCTTACAGTTGGTCATAATTATCTTCTGTGCATCGATTGCAGTCCCCCACATCCAGTGGTACAGCATGGTACGACCTGTCATCAGTGCAAACCGGCCTCGTGGTATGCTCCACTCTTAACATCAGTCCAATCTTCTGTAATTATGCATCACCACGTTTGGCCTCATTTTAGTCTGCCGTGTGCCTTGTCGTTCCATTGTTTGCGATGCAGGTCAGCGGCTCACTCTATGGTGCTTTGATCGGATCCGCCACGGCATTCACCATTGCGGATTTTCTAGGTACGCATGTTCTGCTCTCCTCGTGCTCTACTCCATGCTATGCTGTGCAATCTATCTGTTGTTCTGATGTGATCTGTGCCTAATTGCTTACCACAGGAAGGCGCAGAGAGCTTGTTGTTTCTTCTATCATGTATTTGATTGGAGCTCTTCTCACCGCAGTGGCTCCTAACTTCCTTATCATGGTGGTTGGTCGCTTTTTATATGGCATAGGAATTGGATTGGTAACGATACTTAATGTCATACTTGAATTGGATATGGACACATACATACATTTCTATATGAGGCTTATGTGAGTCGCTTTCATTAGGCTATGCACGCTGCTCCAATGTATATTGCTGAGACTGCTCCAAGTCAGATTAGAGGCATGCTCATCTCTCTCAAGGAGTTCTTTATTGTTCTTGGGATGCTTGTAAGTTCATAGTAGATACTTCTTTTTCCCTTCTCCGCCCACTTATCTTCCAGCCTACTTATTTCCATTTCCTTCTGCAGCTTGGTTATATAGTAGGCAATCTATTTGTTGAAGTGATTTCTGGTTGGCGCTACATGTATGCCACCAGTGCTCCGATATGTGTCATTATGGGCATCGGAATGTGCTGGTTACCTTGTTCACCTAGGTGGCTTCTGTTATGTGCCACACAAGGAAAAGGAGATCTGCGGGAGACAAAAGAAAATGCTACACGTTGCTTATGTCGATTGAGGGGTCAAGCGTCACCTGATTTGGTTTCGGAGCAGGTCAATTTGATTCTGGAAGAACTCTCATACGTTGGTGAAGAGAAAAAAGCAGGCTTCAGTGAGATCTTTCAAGGAAAGTGTCTCAAAGCAATGATAATTGGATGTGGTTTGGTGTTCTTTCAGCAGGTACTCTCTTCAATCTTTTTTGTTGACCTGTCCTAGAGTTTTGTTCGTATATTCTCCATGATATCAGGTTGATCTTTTCAGTTCAAATAATATCAGGCTGATCTTTTCAGTTCAAATAATATCAGGTCGATCTTTCCAGTTCAAACAATATCACGTTTTATGTGGTGTTTATTCTTCTCCTTCTCTATGTATTTGCCAGGTCACTGGTCAACCAAGTGTGCTATATTATGCTGCGACAATTTTTCAGGTACTAATACTTCTGCATATGAAATTATTTAACTCAAGTATGCCATTATCTTGTGTTAAGGTTGCCATTTCCAGTATAGGGGTGGGGGGTCAATCTTGCAGGGCTAGTTGGATTTGCATGTCATTGCCTTCAAGCACCATCAATTTTTTGCTTTTCTTGCTGTGTTATTGATAGCTATCACTATTTGCACACAGAGTGCTGGATTCTCTGGAGCATCTGATGCCACTCGTGTATCAATTCTTCTTGGCTTGCTGAAGGTAGGTGCCAAGTTTTGCACAAGTTTAGTTTAAACTTATAATAACCAGCAGTGATATCTGCCCACTTTAAGATGGTTCAGAGGTTTCACACGTACAAATTATGAATGCCTTGAGAAAAATTCAATATACACACGGTGATTCCATATTATTTTTAGTTGAATCCAGCCCAATATATGCCTAGTTAAGATTTGATGCAATGCTGATAAATGCATAAGAAAAATAGTACGATTTTCCGTTAAATTGCATATGTCTGTGTTTGTGTGGAAAAAACAAGAAAGTATTACTAATGCTGTGGTTTCATCTCTGTAGCTGATTATGACTGGAGTTGCCGTTCTTGTGGTTGACAAACTTGGCAGAAGACCATTACTAATTGGTGGTGTTAGTGGAATTGTAAGTCTGGCTTCAACATGTAGATTTCTTATTTGAATATGACCAACCACAAAAACATAACCAAGTTGAAGTTAGTATTCGAATGATTTCTATCATTATGTGTAATGAAATGATATATTCATATAACTGAATAATATCTTTTCATGCATAACTATGTGTCTCTGTGGAACAAGGTATTGTTAACTTTCAAATATACCCCAATGTTGAAGGCTATCAGGGGCTAGGAAGCATGATCGTTTTTTTATCAGATACTTTGATGGAGATGTATCCACACTTATTCACACTTTGCTGTTGATGGTTGTTATGTGCAGGCTGTCTCCCTATTCTTATTGTCTTCATACTATACCTTGTTTACGGGTGCTCCTTATGTGGCTGTAATAGCACTTCTACTGTATGTTGGCTGCTACCAGGTACTTACAGAGTTGGCTTACCCTTATTTGCCATAAAAATAGTACAAGAGGATTTCAGGGAGGAATATATTTAGCCTCACCTTTCTGAAATACTAGTTGGCTTGCATTTACACCAAACTTTGAGCAGTTAAACTTTACCTGTGAGTTAAATTTGTCTCTTTGTCTATCTGATAAGAAGTGGTTACTTTGCAGTTATCATTTGGCCCGATTGGCTGGCTTATGATTTCGGAGGTTTTCCCGCTGAAACTGCGTGGCCGTGGATTGAGTGTTGCTGTTCTTGTGAACTTCGCCTCCAACGCGCTTGTCACTTTTGCTTTCTCCCCACTAGAGGTACAAGCCTGCTGCTCTTTCCTTATGAGTTTTGCCTTGGTCCTGGAGTGTATTATCAAGTTAATCCTTTCTTAAGGTTAGTACTATCAAGTTAGTGATCTTTTCGTGTTTCTGCATTGTGCTGTAGGACTTGATTGGCACCGGGGTTCTCTTTGCTTCGTTCGGGGTGATTGCGGTGGCGTCTCTCGCATTCATATTCTGCATTGTGCCTGAAACAAAAGGGCTCACCCTGGAAGAAATCGAAGCCAAACTGTAGATCCAACTATCTGTAATCTCTCATCTTAGTTAGCATCTTCTTTACTGCTCTTATTACTCAGCTATTTTGTATGTGTAGTATTACATTGAGAAAACTACTTATTTGCCTCTGAATAAGGTATATCTAAATAGAAGGTGTCCAAGTGGAAGGGTCTTCATGAGCGAAAAAACATCGAAGGGCAAAAACTGTGAAATGTAGAAAATCATGAAAAAATTGACATCAAAACGTGTGCAAACACGCATAGAATCGAGAAAATTTAGATAATGACATCCAGCAAAAAACTATTTAAGCACATGAAAAATATGTTCTAAAACCTACCAAGTTTGTGATATACGTGAAAAATGAGGTCCTATTGCAAAGATACTCTCAAGCAAAATATTGTTAGGACGTACCAAAAAAGTTCTGTACCAACCCCCATGTAGTGAGATGAAATTTGAGAAAAAAATGGTATTGCCTGAGAAACATCTCTGGCGTAACGCAGTATATATATTATGTACCAACTCATGTAATCATCGAAAATTGGGCAAATTATGTACCAACTCAGGAATCAGTTCGACCTTTTTTTTGGTAGAAATAAGCTTGGCCTTTCTTGATTATCTGACATGGAATATCCTTAACTAGGCTAACTTTTTAATCTGCCCAATTATTGAGTACATTTGGCAATCCCTAAGCAAGCCATTATACAACTCGAATACAGTTGACTATTTAAAATCTATGGAGATAAATACATAGTATTGTATACGACCTATGAGTAACAATTAAGATACAATGCACTTGCAGTGTCTCACGGTGGGTCGGTACAATCCCATGTTCCCTAGCATGTGCGGATGTGCCCATACAATTGGTTAGACATCTGTATTTCAATGACCTCTGAAACATGATCATTAATCAATATGTATGCTGGTTAATTATTTTGTATCGTCATATGAGTTCAGACTGGGGACTTATTTGGAATATTCACTCTTTAGTATTAGAAATATGAATACGGAGTTTCATAAGCAAGTCACATACTTGCCCATGGTTGTTCAAGTACATTATTAAATAAATCATTGAACATGGTAGCATCTTGGGCATATTCCAAACACATTCTTCATCGACCCTTTTCTAAATAGGGGAGGGAAACTATGCTGGATTGATTCCAGCTTTGGTCAGTTTTCATTTCTTGTATGCAGATTGACTGATGATTCAGTCCATATCTGAATTAGCTGAGACTTTGATGATCTGTTGATTTTCATCTCAGCTCTGAAAGAAATTTCTGAGGGTTTGGCCTGCTTGCACCAAGTTATCATACTGCATGCATACATGTCAATAAAATACCACAAAGACCAGCAGCACTTCATTGTCCCTTTCTTCTATTTGACTTTATTTTGAAATTATCAGCTAGCTAGGCTTGATCTTGGCTCATCCAAGAAAAGGAATTAAGAATTTGTTTCATCTGTTGGAGTATGTAACAACTAAGGAAAATCATATAGCTTCATAATTGGATGCATATCCTGACAGATTTACTAGATGTGCATCAGTCATCAGTGCATCTTGTCCTTGCGTATCGGCGTGAGCTGAATTGGGCAGCCATTCTTGAGCCTCGGAAACATTGCCCATTTCTCAAGGCTTGTATCGTGGTCTGCCATCTCCCATCTGAAAACATCAGAAATTTTAATTTTAGTCTCCAGCTCATATCTGTTTGCATCAAATAAAGAAACTTGGCTTTAGAGTTGAAACCTGAAATTTGTGACAAGGCGATGAAGGAATATTAGCATCATAATCTTGGCAAGGTTCATCCCCAGGCATGTTCTGCTGCCTGCTCCAAATACCAAGAAGCTGTATGGCTTCATATCATCCTGTCCATAGCAACAACATCAATCTGTCTACATCACAAAACAATAAATATCTACTATAATTTCTTCAGGCTTACAAGAATACATACGTTGAACCTGGAAGGATCAAACACCGTCGGATTGTCATAGATGGCCGGATCATAGTGTATGGATCTCGCGTCGACATTTACGATCCAGTCCTTCTTAATGTGGAATCCTGTTGTTACTTGTCTCTGTCAATAGTAGCTTCCAGCGAGGAGGAAGAATAAATCAGAGAGGTTTAGTTACCTGCAACCCGGCAGTCCTTGAGTGCCACCCTTGGAAACCAAGAAACTATGGTGGCCATCCTCAGAGATTCTTTGACCGTCTTGTATGCGTAGTCCATGGTGTTCAGATGTTGTAGGGTAAGAGGTGCATCATTGTGCTTGGATGCCAGATCCAGCTGAACTGACTGCATATACATATACAGAGAGAATTGCAATCAATAAATGAAGTAATTTATTCTTCATATATGGGCCAAATATGCAGCTCACTCACTCTTAGTTTCTCTTGGAGATCTGTGTTGTCGCCCAGGTACTTGACCATCCATGTAATTGCTGTTGCTGTTGTCACTTGCCCTGCACTCAGTTACAAACAAGGGTTTGTTTGTAGCTAACAACTTAGAAAGTCTTTATAGTTAAGAACTAAATTAGGACTTGCATACATGTATACCTGCAATTATGAGTGTCAAAATGTTATCCAGAATCTGTTCATCCGTGAGCGCTTCTTCAGGTGAATCCATATGGCTCTTGAGAAGAAGGGTCTGCAGAAAGTCGTCGCGGCGATCTAGTTTCAGGCCATTTTCTCGCCTCACGAATATTTCTTGCCTCAGTACATCCATGATCCTCTTCCTTGCCTGACACCAACAGCAATTCCACACCAAGAATCTAGCTAGAAATCATTCCCTTCTTGTGAATTTGTAGTGATTAAAAACATGTATACTTGCGCGAATCTTGGTATCTAGTCAATCTAGATCGGACAGTGATGGTTTCGAGTGGCGGAAAAAGTAAAAAGAAATAAGGAAAACTGTAAAAACATTAGAAGAAAAAAAAAAGGGTACCTGTAGGCCTCTGTAGAACCTTGTTCCAGGCAGCCTGATTGGCAGCGCGAGCATGGCTTGCGTTACGTCCATGACGTCGGCCTGCAGCTGTCCCAGCTTATGTGCATCCTCCTGTGGCCCGATGAGCATCTCGCAGATGGCCGTGAAGGTGACGTCGAGCGCGGCGTCCAGCACGACGGCCCGGCCCGTGCAGCCGTCGGCCAGCAGCCGGGCGGCGATCAGGCGGTCGAAGGCGGCGGCGAAGGCGGCCGTGGGCGCGGCGGCGAAGAGGCCCGCGACGGCGCGGCGCATGCGGCGGTGCGCGCCGTGGGAGGTGCAGAGGAGGCTGTGCTCGCCGAGCAGGTCGGCGACGGTGCGCACGTAGCGCTTAGCGAAGTGGGGCGGGTCGGCGGCCAGGAGGCTGGCGGCGGCGGCGCGCGCGCGGGAGGAGAGGAGGAAGACGTGGGTGCGGCCGAAGAGCACGGTGCGGAAGCAGGCGCCGTACCGGAGCGCGCGCGCCTGGACGAAGTGGTAGAAGCCCCTGCCGCTGCTGTTGTCCGCCAGGAAGGACAGCGTCTCCGCCCCGACCGCGCCCCGGCACCAGCCGCCGATGCCCCCCGGCGGCGGGCTGTTGCCTTCTTGCCGGAGTTGTGAAGCGCGTAGGGCGCGGAGGAGGAGGTAGGCGATGCCGCCGACGACTACCGGTAACAACAGCAAGACGTGAGCGGCCGCGAAGCGCCATGCCAGCTCCGCCGTCGTCGGCGTCGACGTCGACATCGTCTCCGGCCGGCGCGCGCGAGCTAGTGACTAATGTGGTTTCACTGGCGCTAGCGCTGGCACGCACGCATATCTAAGCAGACATGCACGCGCGATATATGACCGAGTCTGGTGCAACCATTCTCCAGATCAATCATGGCGATGGATCCTGGAGGGATACCTGATCTGATGGATTCCAACCGCACTTGCGCTAGTTGCATCGCATCTTTTCCCGCCGTCCCTCGCTTGCGTTTCAAGATGAGTATCATCGTCTCTCTGTTCACGCAAATAAGTACGTTGACGAGATGCCGGATTTCATTTCATTCCATTCCATTTGCATGTCGAGTGCTGTGTGTCGTCATGATCTTAGCTTCCAGGTCACAGGTCAGGCAGGCAGATATGACCAACCAGCACGAACCAAAGTTCAGTCAGCTTTATTAGTCGAGTTGTGTGTTTTCCCATTGACTGAACGGCCGCATATTCTGGTCCAGTCGAGGAGTATCTCCAGGAAGAGGAACCCACCCAATTTCCCACTCACTTAACCAGTGATGACTTGTCGCCCGCATATCTATGGGCAATTGGGCATATGGCCTTCGATCATCATCATATCATTCGTGTGATTAACCTACCTACCTAGCAGAGTAGCTACTACTCCCTCCGTTCCGAATTACTTGTCTTGGATTTGTCTAGATACAGATGTATCTAGACTCAATTGCTAGATACATCTGTATCTAGACAAATCCAAGACAAGTAATTCGGAACGGAGGGAGTATAAGTTAAGTACTGGAGCTGACGAAGAAAAGTAGACACGGAGGCGATAATTCAATTCGGAGTCCGGGCTCATCTACACCTGGCGGACAGTAAAATCAAAATAAAAAATAAAAATAGTAAAAAATCAAAAAGATCTGAAACATTTTCCATGCTAGAGAAGACTACTGCTCTCTTTTATATATTGATTGATCAGATTCAACGTTCATATTAATGAGCATGATCGCTATCATGCAGAGTAATTTCAAAGAAATTTTGATTATTTCGGTGGCTACTGAAATACTTTAAACCCCCAAATTCCGAGCCAGATAAAAACAAATTCCAAACAAAATCAAATTTATTCAAAATTACTCTCATCCCATAATATAAGAGCGTTTTTGACACTACACTAGTGTCAAAAGCACTCTTATATTGTGGGACGGAGGGAGTAGTTAAAATTAAGCGAATTCTGGAAAATCTGAAAGAATTTTTTAAATTCCCGAAATTTTGCCTATTGACCGTGCTCCTTTATCCAGGCCCGTGTTATTCAGAGCATGAAGAATTATTCTTATTCGGGAAAAGAATCCGAGCATGGAATTTCTTCA